CAGGCTGCATGCACAAAGAGAAAGGACTGTCCGATGAATACGATAGGGAGCAAGTGAACGCCAGCTTCTATGAGGGACGACCCATTCAAGCATTGGAGTTTCTTGGAGGAGGGTAGGGGGGGTTTAGGGAGTCCGTCTGCCAGCAATAAAAGGCTGAAACAGGATACTTGGTGAGATTAATTACCACGATAATGCCATTTAAATGGAAAAGTAATTAAAGTGCACCTTCCATGAAAATTATTCATTGCTGAAGGATTGGGTGACGGACAAATCAGGAGGCATTTACAGAAAAGCTACAGGTTAAGTGCTCCGAGCTGCTGCTCTGAGACCACCACAGTTTTATTGCAGCTGTTGAATCTTACCGCTTTGCTCTGCTCTCATCAAATTACTGTGAGCATGTGGAGCTCGGTGGGGGTAAGGGGGTGAAGAGAATGGGTTCCCAGGTAACGTAAAACCCGGGACAAATGCTACAAAGGAGGATCCGCTAAACTAGAAAATGACACTGGCTGGCACTGGTCAGAGGGGACTGCTTGGAATCAATCAATCCTTCTGTTAGGGGCACCATGGCAGATAGGAACACTAAATGGGATAAATCAATGGCCGTATTGTCCGTAAGTGTTACTTTCACAAATTACAGAACATTGTTCATTTAGGGATGATTAAGTGTCAATAACGTTGGCGTATAGATAACCGATGGGGGTGTCCATTTGCACCCACCGAACATTTATTATTTAAATGATTTTTCCCCTTAAGTAGCGGTGAGTTATCATCGAACCACGCAAGAACGTCTATCGCTATCTTCTTTTCTAAGCTTCAGACACTCAACAGCGGGAGGACGGCGACGCTCACATCAACCGACGCAGGGAAAACACAACAGAAATGTTGGCCTCGCACTCGATGAAGGCCACAGAGGATTTTCTTGTTTACCTCAATACCTTTCCCCTTTGCATTGAGCGATTTCAATGAAGGGAATAACCTGTTGTTCTGTTGGAATGTTTGATTAGTTTTGATCTTAAGGGGCGACTGCGGCGGAACATCATCTTGCATTCACAGTGTTGCAAAATCAATGTAGTGAAGGATGGCTGGAAAGGAAAAGAAAAGAAACCCCAACAGCCCCGTTGTCACTGGACAAAAAACCCTAGCAAATGAACACAATCATTGGCTTTTGTACTTTGTGATAAAGGTGACTCTCAGCATTCATTACTGGAGACGAATGTCTCTGCACAGTGCTCACAATGCTCTGTCACAGGTATGTATGGGCAATGGTTCAGAGAGCTGGAAACGTGACAGCCGCTTTGAAGTGCTCATTTTGACAACTTTTCTGCCACGATAGTGTGAGACGTGAGTTGAAGAAAATATATAATAAATTATTTCAGCAACACATTCTATTGATATGCTCTACAAGAAAACAACAAAATATATCCAAGACAATTAAGTCTTTCTAATAATCACCAACTCTGGTTGGATGTTTGGAAAGACAGCTTGAACAATAAACAGATGAATAGAAGAAGTAACCGGCGTAACATTTTAATTGTTACAAACACTTCTGTGTCGTGATGCCAAAAGTGACACACCAAAAAAAACTAAAGACGAAAGTCTTACTTGTCGTACATTTTGTAAAGAGTCTCTTAACTATTCAACACATTTTCCTATTTAAATAAATGTACATGCTAACTTTGGTGGGAGCAGGAATCTCCACACTTCAGTTACTAATATTCTTTGACAGTCTTTAACCATAGAAATAAAAATGGATACATATCTCTTTAAGTCATTCTCAAAGGTTTCAGTAGAAAACACTTCTTTTTTTAATTGAAAAGTGAGAGATGACAAAACTATGAAGAATATTCTGCAAGCATTGCGAAAAGGGGTCAGAATCCTGAAAGACGTCTTCATCTTATCAAGGGTTTTGGAAAGACAACGAGGCATTTCTGGTCAAGACTTGCCGCAGTCTAAATAATGCATTGTCTGTGTCACGCCCACTGTTTTCTGCTCTGACTCACCCGTGGAGCCTGTGGACACATCACCGCACCGCTCAACTATTGTACAAGTTGCTATCTGAGTGTAACAGGCAGTGCGCAGCTGGCTAATGCAAGCAGTCAACATTAAAATCAATTTCTACTTTCTTTCACCCATTATATTGTTCATACCTCTTGCTGATCACCCCTAAACCCCATTTCATTGTTGGTGTGCACGCGCATTCACACACGGGCCCTATAGCCATTCCCATAACCAATTTCAAATCGTGTTGCTGTGCCCTTCCCCACAGCGATTTCCCTGGCATAGAGATGCGAACATCCGCTTGAATAAATATTAACGCTTGCTCTATGAGCGGTACTCCCAAGGAGTGTGCTGAAGGAAGAAAAAGGGCCTGTTTACAAGTGTGCTTGAGGAAAGCTAAGTCACGAAGGGCCTCCGAGGGGCGGCTCTGCGGCGCAGGCGACTCACAATGGAGTGCTGATTGAAACCGCTCTTAACTTCCAGCGGACGGCGGAGGCGAAGATGTCGGAAATCCTCAACATGGCGGTGAAAAAATGAAGAGGGGGAAAAAAAAGTCTTTTCAACCGCCGCACGGACGTAGCTGGAGAAATCAAGCTTATGAACTTGCAGCCTCCACTTAAACTCATTTAAGACGGAGCTGAGAGGTAATTAGGTTTCTGGGAACAATAAGCACTCAGCACCTCGTGTTGCAGCTCCAGCCTGGCCTCGCCTCTGGTATAATTAGGGGAGGTGTGAATTCCTCATCAGATGGATCGCCATCTGCATTCACACACTGCGCGTTCATCCCCTCCAGGCCCGCCGCCACGGGTCCATGCTCGCAATTACCATGCCGTAGGCAGAGATGGGGAGCTTCTCTTTCCTTTTTACACTTTTTTTTTTTAAGGTTCGTTCGGTGCTATGAAAGGTTAATCAATTCTGAATGATGAGCCAGAAAGGTTTTAATAATGCAGTCATTCTGTTATCGAGTGGTCCTGCACGCTCGCTCAGGAAGGGCCGATGGTTTTTGGGAAGCTCCGGAATTCCAATTACAAAGCGCTCAAGCGTTCCCTAACAGCCTAGAGAGTGCCGGACACTGTGAGGGTCCGGCGGGACATTGAGCCAGGCAGTGTGGAGCTAATGCCGGCCCAAGAAGGGAAACAAGAAAGACACATTATATGTTTGTCAATATCAACCGATTGTCTGGCGCAAGTACCTCTCACAGAACTCAGCAAGTGCCCCTCTTTTGGAATGACCTCATCCAATGGCGAAAAGTTTTGTTTTATAGTTACCAATACATGTATAGAGGTTATTAAAAAAGTAATTAAAACAAGTAAGAGTGAGTATCTTTTCAGATGGAAGCCCTGTGCCCATTTGAGTCTCAATTTAGGGGTCTTTGACACAAAACATGGTTGAGAACAACTGCTACAAAGATATCACTCTGTCAATTGAACCGGTAAGAGTGAAATAGATGCTTTCCCAGAGGGAATATAATTAGTCTGTGGTTTGCCCAAATACTAAAAGATGCTTATAAATAAGTATAAAACAAAGGCAGGTTTTTTCAAAAAAAATGATCACATTTACAAATATGGAATGGCACATACTATTGGAGATAAAAACGTAATGTAATAAGCCAACAAAATTATCAGCTGCCTCATCTATGCTAACCAATTATACTGATTACAGTGTTAACGCTCTTTAAATGGTGCCACTTACTCAAAATAATAAACATGACACCATCTTGGCCAAGCACGCTGCTTGCCTTCCCGACGGCTAATGGCTAAATATTCCACCGGGTTAGCTGAGTAATTGTCTGTTGTCAGCGTGCCACGTATAATCACGAGTGACTCTCAAAGAGCGCAGGTTAATTGTCGGCCTATTTCCCGCCATCCCTATGCCCTTGGACAGGCAAACCCTCTGCACATTCCAGCGCGTGTCTATGTCCCGGATCTAGCGCGGTGAAATGCATCATCCCCGACACCGCATCCAACACTCTATTCATTAAAATGCCTCTTTCTTACTCGATCTCTCCCAGATGTGGCGGAGATACACTACGTGCAGTAAAACATTTTTTTGTTGCAAACCACAGCTTCTGCAGATTTATGGTGGGAGCGCAGCTCAACACGACATTGAAATGATAACGTGAATGGACAGAGAACAGGGGTTATATATCCAGGCAAGGCTAAAGTTCTTCTTTTAATCACTATAGTCAGAAGACTCTTTTGGGTCAACTGCATTTCATGGATGGCCAAGCATGAAAGTACAATCTTGTTGGGTGGATCCATAGAGATAATGACTGAAAAAAAGGACTTTAGTTTGTCAGCATTAAAATACAGCATTTTAATTACGCTGCACTCCCTAGAAATACAACTCTTTGGGTATCACTGGGAGACTGCACCTTTGCTAAGCTAATAATGTTGGCCACAGTAGCACAGTACACTAGTTTTGGTAATATGCATTGTGAATATATTCCTGGATCATATCCGACTATAGTCATTAATGCTAATGAGGAATCATTATGATCGTTTGCATATGAGATGTTTCCTAAATTAAATTGTCTATTGGCCAATGCTCGCTCAGCTGGAGCAGAGGATGAACTGTGCACGGACCGGTGTGGAGCGTTCGCGGCTCGTTTCAGGAGTATGTCATGGGATATGGGGTTTTTCACTTACAAATTTATTTTTATGGGAAATTTTTACTGAGATTCACATTTGTTTTTGACGCCCCCCACCCCATGAGGCCGCTGTTCATGGCCTGTGTGAAATCAAAAACTGACTTGGACTTCAATAATCCAACAAACTAACGTATTTTAATAACATAACCAAGCTGTTTGGTTTTAAAGTAATTTATTGCGGATTTAAAACTGACTGTAATGCGGAAGAAACTTTGCGTATGAAGTTTATTTGTATGGGAATTTAAATTTTGTAGGCAGCCAGCAGATGTAAAAGTTACATCTTAACACCTTCCTTTCTTTTTGTGTACGTATCCAAACCAAAACAAGTTACTCTGTTTGTAAGAACCCTTACCTGCTTGTCCCGTAGCGATGCTGACCGCCGCAAACAGCCTCTGCGTGCGACTCAGGTCCGACACGCCGTTGACCGCCTCCACCTCAAAGGTGTAGTTGGCGTGAGCGAGCAGGTCCACGATGCTCACGTAAGTGTCCACTAATCCCGACTGCGCCGGAGAGTATCCTACGTTCAGCCCACACGGCACACACTCCTCGGGTTCCCAGCCGCAGCGCCGGCATACCACCCTGTAGGTGACGTCGTTGCGCCCACCCGTGTCAGCTGGCGGGCTCCACTCCAGGCTGACGGTGGTCTGGTTGATGTTGTAGACCAGGTTCTGTGGCGCGGAGGGAGGCCCTGTCAGAGGTGGACACGGAGAAAGCCAGAATGAAACAACGGAGTGCCAAGGAAGGTGACAGCCAGGAGTGTGCAATGACTGAGTCTGTGCTCTCGCTGTGCTCCGAGAGAGAAAAGACGGGAAAAAAGCCACACACACACACACACACACACACAGTGCAGGACATGCCAGCTCCAGCCCTGGAGCAAAACACTGACACTCAATTATAGTGAGACTGCTACAGGTAGCCCACACTGAAAGGAAGTCCGCTCTGGCAGGCACAAGGTCAGTGTTGGAGGGCTGATAAATGAAGGAGTGCAGCCCAGAGTTTCAAAGGTGGAACCATTTCAGTGTAGAGTTCACTCATCTTATTCTGTTCTTGAGGTCTAAGTGTTGAGGATGAGAAACACCGTGCTTCTAATCATCAGTTTCCTGTCTTTTAATGAGTCAGGAGGACATGAATTATATACATCGATTAGAGTCACACAGCTTAAAGCTGGGGAAGCGATGGTGCCCTCTGTCCCATCAGACCCATCTTCAAACTCAGCCTTTGTTTGGATTTGAAACTAAACCCCTGTACATTTTCCTGACTGCATCGCGCACGGCTGTTTCCTGACTGCCCCATCGGCCGTTTTGACGAAGATGTCATGAGCAAACATAGCCGCTGCCTCATCCAGAGGGACTTGGGCGTTTTGATTACGTACCGATTCATAACAGCATCCAATCTGCAGAGGCAATGAAAATGATTGAGACTTGGTTGGTCCCATGGGGTCGGCGGGGGGGAAGCACCGTCCCTCCGTAAATCTTAAAAGTTCTCCAAAAATGTACAGCTAACACAGTAGGAAATGTTGCCTTGGAGAGCTGTATCATACATGCAGTGCACTTAAAGTTAATGTCCTCCAAAAAAAAAGTCTCAAAGACCGACCACAAGATTTTTGAACAAGATTTAAACCTGGATTATCACTCCCCTGTAACTGCCGTGTAGGGTTTCACTTGAGACACTGGCAAATAGCTCCACGCCATCAAAAGTGTTCACGTAACGACAGAGAGCTTCTCTCGTAAAAACAATGAACAAATTGCTGCTGCCATCTTTTAAATTGCAGGCCGTTGGCTTTTATGGCCCCAGATGTTGATGAATTAACTCCCACCCACCCCAACACAGTAAAGATTATATGACTTGTATTCTTTGTTTATGAATGTGCAAAGAACATCTTCAGCCTGTTCTCCGGGACTGTTAACGGCTCTGTTTTTCTCAGGAAATACTTGGGGAGGGACGTTTCCACTCGCTCAATTTGTCACATTAACTTGGGGTCATTGATATGCGCCGGGCCCAAAACCGCTAGCACAATATTCAGGGTCATTAAAACGGCACTTAGGCGGTTTTTTGCCCTGGTCTACCCTTTAGAACCGAGGGCTCAGCGGGAGGCATCCATATTCATGATTATCCAGCGAGATAACAGACTGTGGACTGAGAAGATGAAAGAGCCACCTGTGGCAGGTGAAGCGCAGAGGAGAGACTGCTGATAGCGCCACTCAACCTCAGCCTTGGAACCAACAAATCGAACCACGCTCTCAATCTTCCACGCAGACAAAAGGGAAGGGGGGCGCCTCGACACGTCCGCACACCTGCCCTCCCCTCCTGAATCTTTTATCCCCGCATTTCCATGGCCACGGCGAGCGCTGATAAAACCTCATTCCGCCCGTGCCACTCTCGTCGGGGTCTCAGGTGCCACAGATCAAAGCGGCGATACCTCGGCAAAACAAGAGGCGAGAGGAAATGAGAATGGACTGACCCTGGATATGTGTGACCTCTCGTTTCCTTATTTTTTTCCGGGTGCACTCTGCCTTGACGGCTTTCTTCTTTCTAAAGTATATTTCAAATGATGTCATCTTACATCCCACTTGTAAGTGATCTGGTTGCAATCGGTACTTGATCACATGGAAGTGACAATGTAAATAGAACCTTTCATTGTGATCCGATCGATCCACATGGTCTACAGCGGCTAGGCCTCAGAGGGGGGTCACCAATGCGATGCGCGAGGATCGGGCGCTACCGGGTGTTTAGCAACGTTCCGGCAGGCGGGTGGGTTGAAATGACCAGCGAGGTGTACTTTGCAGGTCAAGTGCGGTTGTTTGGTTGACGCTGATTGGTTCGATTACGTAAACCCAAGAGCCAACCTGTTATTAAAGCTCGGAAGAATGTTCAGAGCTCAATCAGGTGAACGCTTCATCCGCTTAAATCATATTTGGATGAAACCGAGGCACAAAACGCATGTCAATGCAAGGTATGAAGGACATCTCCCTTTTGGGGTGGAAGCGTAGAGGCTAGGTCCCAACAAGTTGTGTGACTTATTTAGTAAAAATCAAACCCATTAGCTTCAAAGGGTGACGACTAAAGTGACGACTAGGCTGTGTTTGAATTTTTGTCATTTATCATGTGTGCATTGTTACACGAACAACGCCACACATGCTTTTCCAGAGAGACTGTCTGAAAGGATAAAGTTCACATTGCAGAGAGAAAGAAAAAACAAAACATCCGCTTTTGTTTTCAGTAGTAAAGGTTACAATCAGCATTCATTCCTGGGAATAAAATGACTGCACTTTTTCACCGCGATCCGCAGTGGTGGAAACATTACATCTTGGATACACATATTTTTGCGATGCTATTTTTCTATCGCCTACACAGAATGTCATACAGGCGGGGGAAAAAAGTATCACGCTACCCTCTGCTTCCTCTGCCTTGGCGTCATATTGGTTCTAAGAATATGCTCTGTTTGGACTTTTTTGCAATATGAAACTCTGCCCCCACCTCACCTACAGTACGGATTTGGACTGCAGCTTGAGACCTCGGCTGTGTGTCTGTCTGCTCATTGGTTCATCGCTCTTCTTTTTTCTCTTTATTTTGTTCTCTCATTGCCCCCACTCGTTCTTATCTTTTCGTGTTCCCTTCTCTCTCAATCCTCAAGTATCATTTCAGGGATTAGTCTGCCGCGGCCTCTGCAACCTGAAATGTCTCAATCACTTGCTGGCTTCCCTCCCAAATGCTGCCACTGTGTGTTTTTGTTGTTATGAATATGGAATAGGCACAGTTTGTCCTGCTGGATCATTTGCATGCTAACGTGGGGTAGATTCAGTTGAATAAAACAAAAGTACCACAGTGCGTAAAGCTGGTAAGGAAACAGACCTCGTCTGCACTGAAGTATTCGCTACATCTAATAATCTCCCACATAGAAAACAAAGTGTACCATCGGATCGTTTGTAGGTCACGTTTCAAAGACCTGAGAACTCTGTGCGGAGTTGTGAGACCTGAATAAATCCAAGCTTAAGAGAGAAGAATCTGGCGCTTATCTGCCTTGAGAGGTGCTCGGGGGCTGCCTTAACCCTCCACAGCCTATTAGCCAGCTCTGCTCTAATTGGGGAGCGGTGGGGATGGGGGCGGCAGGGGTGAGTGGCATTCAAATCGCCCATGAGGTAATCCCGGCTCTACAAATGTGTGTTGCCAACCCGGCAGCCGTGACCCGGCCTGTAATGATGCGGCTGCAGCAGGACCAGCAGGAGGGGATGAAAAGCCCTGAGTTGTTTCAGCAGAAAGGCCTCAGAATGTCGTCGTTACAAAAAAAACTTCAATACCACTCCAGTGCCAAGCTCAATCCAGAAATGGATTTGCCGCTTGTGCGAGCTAAAATTCAATTTTAGCATGGACATTGTCTTTGAAAAATGACCACTGCAGTTGTGTGCAGGAGTACTTTACATGGACTCCTAAATACCACCCCATATAAGGAGAATTTGGATGTGAGAGAAGTTGCTGCAAACCCAAATTTGCATGGCCTTTCGTAGCTTTGATGATGAGTTAGATTTTACACGTGCATGATCTTAACGGGGACGGAGAGGCTTTATGTTTTGATCAAAATCATTTCTGATCATTACGTCTAAGTTAACGTTATTTTATCAATGCGTAATGACATAGAGGATTGCTTGGGTTTATTACAATCTGGGACTTAAGTTTGTAGTTTTAGCTTTCAAGTACATAAGGTGAATATGTACAGACTAAAGGAAATTATGAAGTCTGTATATTTATAATAATAGATGGATTAATCTCCTTCTGGCCATAGTGAGTAACTGAGGCCCAGACCCCTGCAGTCCTGTCTGGGCCTAGTGTCAGTTTTGATTTAGCATTTGTTTGTCAAAAAAAGTTTGAACCTACATCATTAAATGAAGTTGCTTTCAATCCAAATATAACCAAAGCAAGTGGCAGGACACCTCCCATTTTAACAGCAGGCCCTCATCGTTGGTTCATCCAGCGTGTATGCTGAACTGTGGGAGCCCTTTCACAGTCCCCTAGCAACTCCAGGCAGCACGAACCCTCTAACGCACGTCGCAACTTGTTGAGGTGGCACATTTTTATGGGGCTCCGCGGGTGGGGGGTGAGGGAGGGACCTCTCACAACTACCCTTCTCAGCCCCAAGCATGCGCCAGTGCCGCTCACAGCTGTTGCATGATTGATGCCCACTCCCCAACCTCTCAACGGCTTCTTCCCGGGTGTATCCCCTGGAGAAAACGCCTCACCATGGCCACCCCCCCTGTACATCTCTTCTTTTCTCACAACTTTGCATGGGAATGGTGTAGACAAACCTTCCAAAAAAGACAATTTCATCCTTGAGGGCCCCCTCTCCTGTAAAATGCAACCACACGGTAAAACGATGTATCTGGAACTGCATGTTTTTGCAACTTCTTCCCTCATCTTTATTCAGCGCCGATTTGGCTTTCTATGTCCCCACATTACATCTTTGTCTCATTATCCCCTAAATCCGCATAGACACTTTCTTAATCTCTGTGTGCCAGAGATCCATCAAACTGTTTTTCTTAGGCCTATGATATGGTGGCTTTACAAACTCCTATATAAAAATTAAAAAGAATCTGTCTATTAGGCTATTTGTAGAGGCAGTGCAAATTCATTTTCAATTACAATTCACTCATGGTCTGGATAAGACTTGAGAAATAAGTAAATCACAGAGTCTATTGGTCACAGAGACTTAATCCAGCCATGAATGAGGAAATGCACGTACAGAAAGGCGTAAAAAATAGGAAATTGTGCCGGGTGAATGAGGGCGAGAGCGAAGCTATTCATACAAGTTGAAAATACATATTTACATAAAATGGTATAGGGTCATCAAGTGTAGACCCGAACTTAATGAAAATGAATAATGGAAAGTGTGCATTAGGCAACTTCAGTAATTACTAGGCTACTTGGCCAAGGTGATTACCCAGATGGGGAACAGCCAGAGGACACTGCAAATACGTTTCTACTGCAGGCGAGTCCTGCCCTTGTTCAGCGGGAGACGTACGAGTGAAGCGTTGTGGTTTCCTCCCCACTACACAGCGAGACTGCTAGTTTGTGGTCATTGCCAGGCCTCAAATTAGCTTAGCCTGAGTTATGTCCTTGTTTGTGTCTGACGGTGATGGGCATGGAGTTCAGCAGACAAATCTGAGCCCTCTGTAATAACTTTATGTTCCAATTGAGGTCATAGAGTTCATTGAGACAACGACTCATTTACAACTTTTGCAAATGATTTCATCCGACACCGTGAGACAAAACTAGCTTTGCTGCCGCTTCATAACTTTTTTCTCAACAGCAGACGGCCGAAAGTGACGGTTTTAGGATAATGGACGGGATAATGCCTCTTCAGCTGCTTTAAAGACACCGTCATTAGGACGTCTGACTCAGAGCAAAAGGAATCTCACCGCAAGCAGACAACAAACATCTCGCCTGCTGAGCTAGACTGTGTTTCTGTCTTTGTTTAAACCATTGAAATGTTAATCTGTGACATGCTAAGAAAGGACAGGTGGCACTGAGCCATTGTTCTGCAAGTAAGTCTCTGCACTAAATTCCCAAAACAAGCCCCAACATAAGAGAGGCAGGTTCCTGGTCAACACTGACAAGACCCGAGTCAAGTCTGGAAGCTCCCCAAGCAAGTCTCCAGTGAGGTCCCAAAGCTAGACAGGCAACTTCGACTCCGAGACCGACATGTTCAGAGTCGAGACATCAATTACCAAGTGAGGAAGGACAACTCCCAAGTAAAGACTTAAAACCACCACGTGTGAAGTCATTATTATTCATTCTTTGAGCTACGGCTAAGTCGATGTCTCAAAAAGGTAGTCCACAAACCAAATGGGTGACCTCAAGGGGACTATGTCCACTTCTTTGATACAGTCGTTGGCATGACAGTAGCAAAATGTGATTTCACTTTCAACAGCAATTTAAAGAAAAAGTGTAGTGTGGGATGGCACTATTTTTGCTACTTTGGTGGTAAATCCAGCCCAGAGTAGCTAAATGCAAAAAGGAAATGGCTGACTCCCTGGACAGTCCTGTGTGGGGGGAGTAGTTTGAAGCAGACCTAAATACTGAGCATTTTCCTTCCAAGTTGGTCAAAACCTAAAAACAGCCAGCTGAAATGCAGAACAGAAGCTGGATATTTTGATGGCAGATAATGCCTGTGGGAAACCATACGTCAGGTCTTGTTTTTTATGTTTTTCTCAACAGTACACTTTCCCTTTAATGAACCTGCACTCCTTTTCCATACAGTAGTAGACTTCCGAGGCCCATGCCAAATCATTTCTGACTGAAGAGGAAAACGGAACACACCTCTGCGCTAAAAATGTGTTGAAAATAAATGGAAAAGTTTGGCAGAAAGGAGCCTCTTATGCATGACCTTTACCATGAGATATTTAAAGGATCAAATTCATACTTCAATCCATACAATGGGCTCTTTAAAAACTCTGATTTAATGCATCACTCTGCGTGTCTTGCGACGTTCCAATGTTTGCATAATATCTCACCAGCAGTGTCTCTCCGTCACACACACACTTTAGAGATTCTGACGTGGCCTACTTTGGGAGACCTCGCAAAAAAAAGACGCAGTGCTCGGAATGAGAACAAGGAATGCCGGTTTAACCTTGTAGGCATTTCTTTTTTTGTTTCTCATTCTTATAAAAACGCTGCAGAATAAATGGTTTCACTCCTAAGAAAATAATTCTGAAAAAGGTATTAAAAAAAAAGGAAAAGGTAAAAAAAGAACAGTGTGTGTATTTAGCAGCCAGAAGCCTGAGAGTCAATCCAGGACTCCTGTGATGCATTATCAGCAGAATGAAGCTGGCACGCGGATAAGCTGCAGAGATTATGTTGAGGGGTGCTGTTTACCTCCAGAGATAAAGAAGAGTGCTAACATCGCCCTGCTGGGGTGTGACACTCCCTGTTGCACAGTAGCTAGCAGGACAAAACGAGAGTGGAGGGGGGGGCACCTCTTAAAAATCTTGTTTGGCAATGTATTTGGAGCAAATCAGCCTTACCCCTTTTAGACTGATCACCCCCCCCCGCCCCCCCTCCCCGCCTGTGTAAATAAGCCATCAATGGCTGTCACATAAGCATGACACTGGCCAGGACAGATGAAGACGCAGGCCTCTGCCTCGGCCGCCGCTGCCGAATGTAATTGCAATCTTTCAGACGGGAAATGGCAAATTGCTCCTCTCATCATTAGCAACCAGCTAAGACGGAAAGCAGACACGCGAGCCTGCAAACATAATTATAATGACACACTGGGAGGCAGAGGAACTGCCACGGAGCACATCTGGGGCTCTTATGAGGCCAATGCGGACTGAAGGAACAGGTCTGCCGTGGGCTCTGGAGTGCGTGTGTTTTTTTTCTTTTTCTGGTCCCTGCTTGAATTCGCATCCCAACGAGCGCTGTGTTTGGCATAGCAAACGGAACGGATGACTCACTGGTGCAGGCCACAGACGCGGGGTCCGAGAGCGCCCGGTAGTAGCCGTCCTCGCAGTCGCAGCGCCAGGAGCCCTCGCGGTCGTTGAAGCTGTGCGCCGGACAGCGAGAGCACTGAAGGTCCTGGGAAGAGGACTTGTAGAAACCCCGGCCGCACGCTGTGGAAGGGGAACAAGAAGGATGAGGTTAAGGCCAGGAGGGAAAAGAAGACATTCTCTTTTTGCACCTTTATCTGTTTATCAAACTAACTAATTTGGCCTTCTTCAACACCATACAATTTTTTAGAAATGTCCTTGTGGGTTGTCGTACGATTGTAAAGCCTTCTCAGGCTGTGACACAAAATAATTTGGATTGAAATGCCGATATTGGTGGAAAAAATATTGGTTCAAAGTTGGATTAGGACGTAATGACTAAGCGGTCAATAGAGGGTTAAAACGGGCATGCTGGTATGTAAAACTAGTCAAAAGTTATGACTGGTGTTTATATATGTTTTACAGTGGAATTTCCACTATTTCTATTTAGTAAACCATAGGTAAGCTGGATTCCCACGCCATTATATTCTGAGACAAACGTCTCCAGGCGATATTTAATTCAGTCCTGTGCAAACACAGCCTGGAAGAGTTATAACTTCAAACCTGAACACCCATCATGAAGAAAAGAGAGGCATGACCGACCAAACCACTATGTTGAACCACACAACTTGAATGAGCCAGTATTTAGTCTCAACCTGCAAACTGAGGGATGCAGGGGAAAAAAAACAAAGCATCCCAAATCTCCTGTTGAGGCATCGGGAGAGGCTGACGAATCCTCAGGTCAGCGGAGGGGTCCGACTTGTTTATGACAAGTCCTATCTCTGAAAGGAAACATTCTTCTGAGAGATGAGCGTTTCCACCTGGAGGACGAGCTGCCGCATCGTTTCGACATTTTTAACCGAGACAACCCCGATAAACTGACATGACTAATCAAGGAGGACTCTTCGCTGTCCGTGTGGAAAACATTGACCTCACATGGTGGCCTCCTGGGTGAGTCCTGCGTTTACTAGAACCATCCATCCAGATTTGTAATGCTAGAAAAAAAGAACACAACCCAGGTCAAAATGATGCGGTTCCATTGCCCCGGAGCGTAGCTTTCAGGAGAATGTCGGACTGGTCACAACTACACACCTACACCCAAATTGTTTACCGACCATTTCTCTTAAGTTACAAATAATTGCCATGAGAGGGAGGAACGACAAAGGAATTTAAATGGCATGAAACTACTGACTCGTAGCACCTCGCACGCCAGTGCAGAGTAAAATATCTATTCTGGGTCTGGCTATTTCCAACTAATCCTCAGTGACCGCCTGTGTGTGCAAAACGGAGCTCAGCCTGTCGAGTGAAAAAAAAAAAAAGAAAAAAGCCTGCAATCCAGGCCACAGATTTCTTCAACAATCTGCAAGAAATCTATACTGGATTGGTCTGCATACAAACTATCAAATTATACAAAAAATGCATTTTTCATGAGCCGCAGGGGGAAATGAGTAAAAGTGGTCAAACCCGGGTCTCCCCCTCCATTACAGATCTGGATTCAGCTATTTCTTTATTTCCTTTTTTCCCCCAGGCCAACGCCTCCTGTGACAGGTTCCGGAATAAGAGGGATAAAGAGATTTGAATTTTCTTGTCGTACCACTTCCAGGGCGGCGTGAAGAGGAGGCCGGGGCTTTCTCCGTTTCAGCTACATGAAAGGCCTGTCATTCTCCATTTATCGCACCGCCACGGCCTTGTGGAACAAGACCCTTCTCGCCTTTTTTTCCCCCCTTTTCTTTTCAAGACATGATTTTTATCTCTAATCTTTCTTTACCTTTCCAAGCCGGTAATTGGAAACAGAGGCGCGAGGAGGCTCTGCGAGCTAGCGAGGGGTGTCTCGAATGCTGACCGGGCGAAACGTGGACACAGAGTGCTTACTCGTCATATTGAGCTCCTTTTTGCCGCATGTTTCACGTCTGATGAGAGAAGGCATTTTGACGGACGGCGAGAGAAGACGCACGTCTGATGCACGGTGGAAACGCTGCCCCGGGGGATGTTGACGGTGAACCCAGAGGGCTTCATCCCGCAGGTTAAAGAACGGCAGGCCGGGGCCAGTTAAACGTTCCAGCCAGCGTGTATTTTTGCAGCTGGGTTTCTGAAAGCTCATCTGCTGGGTGATGCGACCACCACCACTCCAGCAGACAAGAGCATCCAACACTGGGATTAAGACGAGCAGAATGAGAATGAGAGCGGGACAGCCGTCTAAAATTAACTTTACTGGATAACAATTTATTACCACATAACTTTGTGGCTTTAAGTGGCATTTGTGTTATGCCTCCCTTCCTCGATGCTAGTTTCAAACCCAAACCAAAATTAGAGTGTGCATTTCAATGCCATTGCAGCTTTTCCCCAAATAATAACCAATACAGTTATACATAAACATATAAACTAATGAATTGTTCATCGCCAAGTTTCCTTTTTTTAACTGCAGCTGCTAAAGGCTATTGTTAGTGGGCTTTCTTTTATGAAACTTTTGTTTCAACTTGTCAAAACAAACCCACTGAGAGAATGTGCAGAAGTTCTCTAAACTTCAGAAAAAAAGATAATGTCTTTAACATCTTCAACAACTACAACTTCTACTGTCAAAAATGGTCAACGCTTGGGGCAGTATCGCTTCCATTGTCTACGTGCACCAGGCAGAAGACGTTTCTGAAGTTGAACGGAGCGTGGGAGAGACGAAATAAGCAAGACTTTCAACAGTCTGGGAATATTTCATCAGCAAACCAAACCAGACAGGACATCTGCAAAACAGAGCTGGCGTTTCACAGCAGCACTGCGGCAACGCACAAACATTTTAATACGAGTCTGTCCTGAAGAGAGGCTTATGCACCCTTCAGATGGCAAGAGTCTTGACAGAGAGCATCATTAACATGCTTGTCACTTACATGATTGCTATGAGTGCTTGAGTTACTTTCAAAAGCACATTTGCACTTTAATGTTGTATTTCTAATTAATGTATTTATTCCAATGATTACATTTGTATTGACTTTGTGTTACTAAAATACATTTGAAGTTTACATCCCAACATTTCAAGTCATTATTTTAATTTACTATGGGAAATAATTGTTAGATTAGTCAATTAATCAAAAAAACAGTGAATAGATTAATCAATTAGGAAAATAATTGTTAGTTGCAGTCTTATCCAGCACTGAGGGAGAAAGCAGTGGACGGACAGTCCTGCTCAAGGCGTGAAGATTCATGTCTCCACAGGGTCCTTTACATTATGTTATCAGGCGCTTCTAATAACAAGCCTGATGAAATACCTAAAAACTGACCGTTTGAGATTCAGTCTGGTTCATAAACCACATACAGAAACAACACTGGCACACCAAGAGATGCTTTTCACCACATTTAACTTAAAGCCCAGTCGCTAAATGTTAGCTGTAGGTGAATGGCATTCTCAAAAGGTTCAGAGCCAGAGGCCTATCGTCATCAAACTAAGGCAGGAAGTGGCATGGTATCAGCAATAGCTTTAAACATTGTTTAAAAAATAGTTAGCCCTCTGCAGCACAGTAACAGAAACCAAATGTTTTAATTGACCGTTACTGGTGTCGGCTAATCAACTTTAGGCTTGTTTGCAACCTCTAATGTTATATTGTTGCCTCATAGGACTTTACTGTTGCCATGTTCACCCATCTAAATCATTACACCAAAATAAGAGCCTGTTCCTCATGTAACTGACTCGCCCTTTAACTCCAGCAAAACACTGTACATTTTCAATGCTTTTTTCCCCTAAGGGCTTTCCAGCAAAATCTCATGTGGTTATCAACGTGTCCGACTGGGTTTTGGCACCCAGGAAATGTTTACAGAAGCAACAAGGCGGCAAATGAGGCCTCAAAAAAAATTGAATGTCTGGTTGACAAGGGGACAAGTAAGTGCTGCTGCTGCTGCAGCTCTCTCCACCGCTGGCAGAGCATCGAGTGACAAGTACAAACACAGCCGCCCAGGCCCGGCAGCTCACGCTCCCTTCCTGCTGGCGACTCTCACGTTCCTGGCACCAGACTCTGAAGAGAACACCCTTAGTCCGAGATGGGCCCACGATAGCGGGTGAGAGGCTCTTTGTCCAACGTCCCCCTCGGCGGCACTTTTTCTTTCTTGTGGGGAATATCTACCAATGTGATCGCACCCAATCCACCCAGGTGGCAGCTTTCTAAAAGCGACCAAATTGAATGAAAAACCTTATTGGCAAACGCTGACGCACAAACATGTCAGAACGCCGCACTGAACTACTTGCACTGACTTTGACGACAGGGAAACGCGGTGTTACATTTGTAAGGATCAAGTGCATAACAAATAAAAAGGGGCCCTGTTTACGCAAGTCTGGCCGTCTTCTGGCACAGATGAAGTCGGCCTAATGGTTTGCGCTCGTTGACACTGGCGCTTTTAAAAGGAACCTCAGCGGCAGACACAACAGACGGCTTATATACGACTCTGATAAATTAGTCCGTCCTCAGAGAGGCGGGTTGAGGTTTTACAGAAAGAAAAGGAAAAGAAGTCTAACATTCTAGCCAGCTCCTACAAGCATCTGTAATGTTCCTTCCTGCGGTGAAGCATTGTGATTGAGTGAGGTGTGTGTGGGGGGGTGTAGGAGGGGGCGACGCGCAGCAGTCAGCAATTTTACACGGAGGGGGGGGAGAGGAGTCGGTTCATTGGGAGGAGCGGGAAAGACTTAATCAAATGCTCCTGTGACTTTGGTGTCTCAATCACAGCACGCACACACACTGGCCCCGAGAAATAAACAGGCTCCTTATCTTAAGCACACACACGCACATGAATGTACACAAGAAGAGAAGACAAAAAGCTATCTGGGTTTTTCTAAGAACTGTGTTTATTCCTCTCCCCCTCTCCACTCTGAGCTTCTTAACATTCTTGAATCGCGTCCAGGTTCTCATGCGCTTTGGCAGTGTCATGACACTTCGGGGTGAGGGACAGAGAAGGAGTGGGGCGGCGGGGGGGCAGTGAGTTACCGTTCATGCCTGACATCCTGGCCAAAATAGAAAATAATTATTATCCTTGTTTGGGAGATGGCGGTTTCTTTTTTAGTTAGTCTGGCCCCTTGGCTGACTGACCGGATCCCGCATTTTAATTTCAGT